CATAAAGGGTTGAGGCTGAGATTCATGAAGCTGAAGAAACTGTAGTCTGGATTGTGCAGTTTCAAAAGGTAAAAGGCACATAAATTCTTGACTTTTTTATAAACTGTATTCTTTTATATTCTTAGGTAGATGTAAACACAGTGTGGCTTTCTTATTATGGTTACATGGAAGATCAGAAGAACCCTCTGTACCTTCTATGGAGGGTTACTGAAAAGTGTCCAACTCAGTGTCCAAACTACCAAATTTTTGAGCTTCCTATCAACATTCATGCCACTTGTAGAATTAGCACCAAAACAAGTTCCTACCCTCCCAGTGGTTCCATCAAAATTTCTTGAAGAAGTTTTTCAAGTAGATGGAAAACATGGATGCCAAGGATAACTGTTTTTGAAAGAGTTTGATTCTGATTCATAAGCTAATTATTTTGTCCAGAAAACATTCATCCAATTTGTCTCCTGGGGGATTCCAAGACTACATTCATCAGAATATCAGTGACAGTGATTGTGAATTGGTGCAAGATATAAAAGTGAATCAAAACAAATCATCACTATCAGCATGGTTTGAAGTTTGCTATGGAAGAATTACTGCTTCAAAGCTATGAGGCACAAAGTGCAAGACATTCGAAGGTACATTAGATGAGCAGGAGAATTTTGAGAATAATGGTAGTTTTCAGTTACTTGAAGTGTCATATGACCCTATATTCCTTTAGAAAATTATAAAAGATGCTGAAAATTTTTGGCAAATTGTTATTTTCACCCATTTAATAAAATTATAAAATATCAGTACTTTTTTCTTCTCTTATTTCAAAATTGGACTTATTTAAGCTCACCAGTGTCTTATAAATAACATATTTCATCATCTTCAAAATCCCTTCTCATATTGATCATACACTATACCTTCACAAAGATCCAATGAGTTTTAATTCCACACAGTTCAACATGTCATATTCAAGCTAGAACAAAATGAGTATGATCAATCCATATTGAAGAAAAAATTCTACTCACATCAAAACGATCCTCACAGCAAAATATATCATTTGATTCCAGGTATGGTTTATCCCTCGGTTTATCCATATACTTCAGTGTTCAGTGTTGATTAAGCAGGATGGAACCAAGTTTGTGGCATTTCCTTACAGCCACTGCCATCCCAGAAATGTGAATCAACGTTGATGAGAAAAAATAAATAATTCGATGGCACGAATAAAAATAATATTGGCCGACAAAAACAAATAAACAATAAAATAACAACTGACAGTAGTGACAGATGAACGAATCGTCAACTGTCCACAAAGTCAACAGTCCAGAAGATATCAAGCGACGTTGCCGGATCACCGTCTGATACTTGTCACGTCACATTAAGCGCGATATTCCAACTCGTTTGAACGGGATCAATACTTTGCAAATTTTTTGTGGAAAAACTACTTCGAATAAAAATCTGAAAAAAATACCTGAGACTTTTATCGTCATACTAAAGGCCATGGTATTTTTTCCAGAAATTCGTGTTCTCGCCTATTATAATGTATAATAGTGTGCGAATTTACATTTTTCGAAGACTGTTATCAAATGATGACATTTGAACACAAAATACTTCGGCGTTATTTTTTAGTTTTGAATCATAATGTATAATACTATGAAAATTTACGTTTTTCGAAGACTGTCATCAAATGTTGAAACGGAATATTCTCAGATAAATTATGGACATACAAAAATGGATATATATTTATATGAAGCAATACATTGAGAATTCGCATTCTCTATGTGATGAGAATATCTACTCTTTTTCAGTTTATTCAATAGAAAACAACTACTTTCCTGGCTATATGCCACGACGAACATTGAATTATATCTATTGAACACATAATACTTCAGCGCTATTTTGCCGAGCTAAAAAGAAAATGTCAAGAACTCAGTTTGTTTGTTTGTCTTTCAAGGTGATAAAACTTTATTCTCAAGTATATCTACGGTAGGTTTTATAAACCTGAGTTTATGATTTTCTAAAAGTGAATGGTCAAGGACATGATCATAATAGGAGAAACCTTGTTTTCTTTTTCCATTTCGGCACAAGAACATCATGCATCCCTGACCCATATTGTCTAAATAATAGTCTTTTGAATGAGAAGTCACCAAAATCACGGTCACAACTCAAAAATATAATCGAACAAAATACCATCCAAATACCAGGACACAAACACGATCATGAACAATGAAACAATGGCAATAAAAACCATATGAAAACGAACAATAATATAGGCGTGGCACATGATGGGCACAAAAATATCTAAGCCTCTCCTGATGGGAGCACACGTAATCAACGACATACGTCTGCGGTTGTAAGCAAATACGATAATCACGGACATAATAATATTCACGCGCAGGTAGCTGTATCAGCATTCCATTTGTAGGGTTATAGTTCAGTGGTTAAAATACGATTCCCTGTGCCAGTACGACGTTGCCGACATCATCTTGCTTTTCAGAAAGTAAGTCATAGGAATGGTGGAGGAGCCAAGTTCCTCTTTTATTTATATTTTTCTGAAGTGAAATTTGATCTTACGAAAAAAAGAAAAAATACGTATACATTTATTTTTAACAAACTTCACAGTGAGATAAAAACCTCAATATAGGAAACTTCTCCATTGTAGAAACCCTTGTGAAAAATCATACTTGAGTTTTCGTAGATCTTCAGAAAGCATTTGATGTGGTTATATCATGGCATCATATTGAACAAACTGCGATTAATAGGAATTAAAGGCAAAATGTTGAATATTTTAGAAACATACTTATCAAATAGAGAACAATATGTCACCGTAGATGAAGTAGAAAGTGAAACTGCAGTCATAAACTGTGGTGTGCCTCAAGGCTCTGCCATAGCCCCCTAATATATTCCTTACATGTAAACTGCAAATCTCAAAGTACTATTTTACATTTGCGGATGACACTATCCTCGTTTATTCTGATTCAAATCCCTCTAGGTTGGAGAAACTAGTTAATAATGATCTAAAAAAAAATACTCGAAATGGCTAACGCAGAACAAATTAAAATTAAATATCAAGAAAACTCATTATATATTACTCAAAACCAAAAACAAAAAATGTTCTGAATTGAGTTGAGAATTATTCAAAAGAAAATGTGAAACATACGAAATACTTTGGACTAGTGCATGATGATAATTTGAACAAGCGAAAACATACAGGGCACATAATAAATAAACTTGTTCCTATGATGGGGGCACTGTACCGATGTCAGGAGTATCTAAACAAGCAGAATAGAAGCATGATAGAACATATATAATGTGATCGGTCGGTTTCTATTGGAAGAAAATTGAGAAGAATAACTTATTTTCTATAAAATAAGAGAGAACACAGACAGATGAGAATAATATTTCTGCATAAAATTTTAGTTATTCATTACACAAGGGAAAAAAGTAGTAGATTATTGGTCCAGGTTGGGAGAGCGGAGGGAGATAAGAAACCGTGAGCTAAAATCTAATATTCTTCCCATGTATAATACGCTATTTTTTCTGTGACAGGAAAAAGAACGAATCGATATCGATATGAAATCAGAAAATAAACGACGTAAAATATGAAGTTTTTAACGCGAATGACACCTGCGTTGCAGGCATCCTTATCATTCATTTTAAGTAATCAGACATCTGTCAGTCTAATTCTGTGATTCAATTTCAAAAAATTGCGAATTTAGTAGTTGTTTAGTAATTTACGTAACCGCGAAGTCGAATGGAAGATAAATGGACTCGCAGTTTTTTCTCGGAGATGGTGTTATTGGCTTATATTTCGGAACTATAGCACAACAAAAGCCATCAACAGTGGATATGTATGTGATATATATCCGGGAAAAAGTACTCACTTTTTTCCCGTGGGAAAAAGTAATTTATGAAAAGTGACATTTTATAACCTTCCAAAAGATCCAAAGCTAGCCCAACAAACCCAGATTGTCCTGCTTTGCAGGAACAAATAGAAATCCATTGTTCTACAGGAGTTCCTCTGGACCCCAACTTCAATTTTACTTCATGTTTGTAGACAAAGTGCAAAAATGTGCCTTTTGTTGAAGTCTTGTGCCTCACACAAAATCACATGATAAGCACGGAGAACTGCTTCTCCTTCCACTACTGGTCGGCTTTTTCCATCTGCATAGAACAAAATATCTGCCAAAAGAACATCTACAACAGGCATTATTAGCGTTTTCGATCGAATATTGACAATGAATGTCAAGAAATTCAAAAACTTATCACTCTTATCAGTACACAGTACACAAGCTAATGGCACTAATGGGATTGAGTGAGGATTGAGTTTGTTTTCCCCCAGTTTTGACGTGGCTTTGACATGGAACAATGAAAACCGAGCGCCACCTGGTAGCATTGATTTCCGCGAATAGAATGATAGCGGGGGCGCCACTTTAGAATTCATATTAGGTGGCTAAAGGTCATTGGCGGTCATTTTTAGAGATCAAAGGATTTTCAACCTTTGCACCTACTTGTGTAATGTATTAGTAGAAGACCCGGCTGCAAATTTCGATCATCATCTGATAACCAAATGTTGAAATTGAAGAATCAATTCGAGGAATTGGAAATAATCGAAATTTCATCAGTGGCGTAGAAAATATGGGAGGAAAAGTTGCCACACTGTAGGGCACCACTAAATAAAATGTCCGAAATGGCTTCCTGGTCAAAAAATGACCAATTCAAAGATGAAACCATATACCGAAGTTAAATGCATTTTATTCAATTTTTCTTGAGATATTGCGAAACAACTATTTTTATTTCTTAACTTAAACGCCCTGTATCTCGAGAACTGAACACTTGAAGACCGTAAGTCCCTATCTCAGTGATTATGAAATCACGAGGGCTATCACCTGTCAAGCGTTGTCGGTCGAATTTCGCAACACCCTGTATATGTACGCTGGGAACTTCCCCATTGGCGCAACATTTATTCATCTTCTAGATCTCTATCAGATCCATTTATTCGTAATCCGTTCGTTTGTTTCTTGCAGGTAAACTGGTATGCATCATAGTCGAAAACGAATCCGACATTGCCGCCTTCAAGGACTTCAAGGACGACGGTCCGGCGGCCGCCCCGCCCGCCCCCAAGGCTCCCGCCGCTCCCACGCCCGCCCCGACTGCACCCGCCCCGGCGGCCCCCTCGTCGTCGCCCCCGGTGCCGGCGCCGGCGACGGGCGGCCGGGTGTACGCCAGTCCGATGGCCAAGAGGCTGGCGGAGCAGAGGAATATCAGGCTGCAAGGTGGGTTTCAGAACTTCTTATTGAGGGATTTCGTTGATTATACAGGGCTTTCATTTCAAAACTTACCACCCTGCATATCTTTTGATTTGCGAAGATTACAGTTTTCGGAAGAAACAGGTCGATTTAGATATCGAGGAGGAAGTAAAATGCCAGGATCAATTGATCCCCTTCACCCCCAGGCACCCCTACTTTGAAATCTCAAATGGGCACCCCCTACTTCGAGATACAAGGAATTGAAGGTCTATCAATAAAGAAATCAACCAGGTGGAAAATAATTCATTTTGCATACAGGGTGGGTCATGAGGAACTGAACATACTCCTACCACGAACAGATACCCCTGAGGGAAATACCGCATGGACATCCAAAATGTTTTCTCCTCTTGTACAATAATGTACAGAGTGATCCAACGGATTGGCAAAATATTGAATTTTCGTCATAACATTCCAACAGCTTCTTTGATTCTTTTCATTTTTTCATGGAACATTATGCACTCCAACACCAATAGACTAACGTATTCAGAATTATACAGTATACAGAAAAAATCCAGGACCGTACTTGTGAAATGTTTCCAGCTATCGAAGAGTTCACTCTGTATATATGGTTTCAGTAAACATTGACATCTTTTCTGTCAATCAGAACAAAACGTGTTGGTGCTTCATCCAGCTGAGAGTGGATTACCCTACTAATTCCTTTCAAAACCAAATAGAATGATTTATTTTAACGAATCCTGTCTAAGAAGAAATGCAATTTATCAGAGTAGTATTCAAAGCAATTGCACAAAATGTGCTTCGTTATTCTGTAGAAAAGTTGTTAGAGCCCTGTCGTTGAATAAAACTATATCCAAATCAAATATTTCATTTGACCTAACAAGCGGGAGCCATGATATTATATTATAGTTTCTAGCAACAAGCTTATTAAAATATTTCTTCACGAACTTTTTGAAACGTTTCCCGATTGATTTGTCTGCATTCGCTCAATCCTATAAATCACCCTGTTCATTATTGTATTAGACGAGGAGAAGCTCCAGATGGCCATTCAATATTCCCCTCAGGGGTCTCTATTCGTGGTAGGAGTATGTACAGTACCTCATAACTCACCCTGTATACGAAATGAATATTTTTTCACCTGGTTGATTTAATCATTGATATACCTTTAATTTTATGTATCTCAAAGTAGCGGGTGCCATTTGAGATTTCAAAGTAGGGCTGTGTGGAGGTGAAGGGGATGAACATAGCATCCAATTGATACTGTTATTGTACTTCCCCCTCGATATCTAAATAGACCTGTTTTTTTCCGAAAATTGTAATCTTCACAGATCAGAAGATATGCGGGGTGGTAAGTTTTGAAATGAATGCCTTGTAGATACGCATTCACATAATTTCTGTGACGGGGAAAAATTTTACATTTCATTTCTGTTGACTGGTTATAAAATATCACTTTCCAAGTTAGTACCTTTTCCATGATATACAGGGTAATTCATTAAGAATGGGAAATCTCTCTGAACTACAGATAATGAACACAAAAATAATTATATTCAGCCCAATATGCCTGATGAGAATGTTGCTGGTTACAGGGTGTTCTAGGGAGAGATTTTATTTCTGAATTTCACAATAACTTTGTTAGTTTTAACAGCATAAACATGAAATCTTGTATTTATAGGTTTTCTGATATGAGGAATATGAATTTGCAACTTATTTTGTGATAGCTCATAGAGGGCGCTAGTGGCACTATGTTACTTCGATAATATGTCAATTCATTGATGATCAAAATAAGTAGAAAATCTGAAAGATTCAACGGTTTTTGTGTTATTCGCTCTTGAAGAGATTCATTTTCCACTTGTGACATTTTAATAATCTTATTTATTGAATTGAGAATGGGAAATGTCTGGACTACAGATAGTAAACACCCAAATATGAAGATTTAGACCAACATGCCTTATAAAAATATTGCTGATTTAAGAGATTCACGGTGGTTTAGGAGAAGATTGTATTTCAAAATATCTTCTCCTTAACCACCCTGAATTGTCAGGGACTTGGAATAATTTTTTCAACACTTCTCAAGCGATTTTGATGTAGCTAATGTGTCTATGCATTGTTCAAAGTTGTTGAATTTGGCCATGTTCTTCAATACGTCGGGTATGTGGTGACGTCAGTTCTTATGCTGTTCCATTATTGGTAAGATAATCTTCGTTCCCACTCAAGAAGTCACCAATTATATTGAAAAGTTGTTAGAGCCCTGTCGTTGAATAAAACTATGTCCAAATCAAATATTTCATTTGACCTAACAAGAGGAAGCCATGATATTATATTATAGTTTCTAGCAACAAGCTTATTAAAATATTTCGTAGACTCCATAAAAAAACATCTTGTAATTGTTGGATGGATTAGAGACTTGGCAATGCTATGCTAAGTGCTGCGAACTGACAAGGCAACGCCCACAATCCTGTGCTGTCACGTTTACCGACCATATCTCCTCTAGTGTGAACTAATATAACACAAATTGATCGTTTGCAATGAGACACAACAAATAAGAGGGAAAATTACAAGAACAATGGGTTTTTTATACCTAATTGAAAAATATGAGTTCTGAAATTCACATTTGTATTTCAACATATGGCAACCGTTTTGTGGTCTGCCCCTACTCACGAAATCGTGTAGTCAGTTTTTATTTGCTGTAAATTTCTAGCCGTTTGAAAATTACCGTGGTAATATTGATGATTTTAGCACCTTAAAATCGACCGAAAGAATCTAAAAAAAATATGGAATTGAAAGGTAATTGAGTAATGATTCTATTTAAGAATTCAGTACCAAATAACTTGAGGGTGATTAATAAGACCGGGAAAATGAAAGAATTAAAGAAACATCTACTCCCATATTGACATCTTATCTCAGTTTTATATTTTTTTTACCAACGGCCACTATAGAACGTAGGCAAGAACACACGAGATACAGCCTCAGTAAGTAGCTCTTTACGCACAGTAAGCACAACGCACAGTTTTCGTTTATTCCTCCAGTATAGGTATGTCATGATCGCGTAATCGCCGTCAACAGCGGATGAGATAACTGTCAAGAATTATAATTCTTACTGTCCTTACTTTTTTGATGTACTATATGGCAATAGGTAAAGTATAGTACGTAATGCGTGTTGTAAAGCAATTACGCACTCATGGAATTACGCACTCGCCGCTCCGCGGGTACGTGCGTAACTTTTCCATTCGTGCGTAATATGCTTCTTACAACACATAATTATTACGTAATATACTATCTCCTACGACTACTACTGTAAGTGATGAATATCGTACACAAAACAATGGCAGTAAGCTTCTCCTTACACACGTGTGCGTAAAGAGAGCGATCGCACGGTTTTCATAGGTATGTTGATAGATGACTTTGTTTTGTTGCTTAGGCGATGTGTCAATAACAATTGGCAAGGTGATCGACCTTTGGGGGCGCTGTTTCAAAACAAGATGGCGGCAAAGAGTGTGTAGTTTGTTTACAAAATTTCTTGAGATTTGCTTACATTTTCTTCTTGATATTTCATTGTGTTATTTGTGTTTATTGTTGAACTTTTTACTGAAATCATAATATTTTTTGTTGGATCATACTGTTTCATCGTGATGTGAGGAAAATTACTGTTACCTACTGACTGAATCGTGGACCAAATAGTCTGAGCTTTCTTCAAACCAGTGCATTTCTGTGGGACAGCTTTATGGGATATCAAAAATCACAAGCATATCCACTATCATCAGAAGCTGATATATTCACCATCATACCTCTTTAACTCCACTCTTCAAGCAAAAGGATCCTACAGACCACAAATGGTGATACCAGGAGTGAAGTTTTTCAACAGTGAACAGCCTTCTGTGAACAATGTGTTAACCCATTCGACTATTTTGTGCTAAATATTATAGCCATCAGAATCATGTGCAATTGATCCATTCAATAGAAATCAGCAGCAACCAGCTCTAATGAGTCTAAACCAAGAAATAATTCAACACCAAAGGCATCCTGACATTACTGTGGATTTAATAGTAGATACAACTATCAATGGCCTATCTTCAACAATATTACTTCCAGGCTTTGAGGATTGTTTACAGTGCAACTCCCATACCTCATATATTATGGTGCTCCACTGCAATAACAGCATATGTGCCATGTGTGTGAATTATATCCATATAACACACTTTTCATAATTTCATTTAATATCTTGTAAAGCTAGTTTTTTTTACCATATTGATGAAATCATTGAATAATTTGGAATTCCACCACATAAAACATTTATCAAATGACTTAGGATTTCAGTTAATGTATTTACACAGTATATTATCATAAATTTTGTGATTTGATATCATTTTGTAATCATAAATTCATCTAATTGAAAATATCAATCTATATAGTTCATTATGTTTTGTATATTTTGGAACTGAATTAATAATAATTTTCGAAAATGAAAGTACATTGACATAACATGTGTTTTACTGTACTTATGCCACTCCAAAGAAGTCAAGAAAGAAGTACCTACAAATAGAAGGATCTTCCAGTATACTCCTTCCCTCAGTGCTCATTTATACTGTTTTTCCCTGAATTATTTTACAAGATACCTTCATAAAAATTTACAATTATAAATTAATTTGAAATCCAGGACTCATATTTGTAGAAATAAATTAACAATGAGCAAAAGTAAGTATCTACCTGGTAGGTACCTATTTTAAAAGGAATCAGTAAAGATTATAAAGTGAAACTTTGAAATTGCATAAAAAAAGAATGAGGTGTTGATTGAGGTAGTTGTGGAATTGAAATATGAATTTTGAAAATCTACAATAAAACATTACAAAAAGAAAAAAAGTTGAACTTTTACTTATGAATAAATACAGTTTAATAATAACATAGGAGCAGTAAAATTATGGATACATTTTTCCAAGATACAATTTGAAATGTCATGGATATATGTTCAAGTACCCAAATAATCAGTGATATCTCCTTAAAAACTTGAATTCAAC